TATTTTACGTTGGGAAAAAAGAAAATGCCTATTTTTATTATAAAAACTTCTGAAAGTAAGGCTCGACAAGATCTTCTGGGCTGCAGAGAATTCAAAGAAACAGTGATTGTCAGAGTCATGAGAAAGCAGGGGACATGGGGCATGGCTCTCTATGGACACACCCGCTATCGCAGAATAGGACTGAGATTTCTATCGTCATCAAAGAGGGCATGGGCTTAGAAGCTGAGAAACATTGTACCAGACAGTGGACCATGTCTGATTTATCTTTCTCTCCCCAGTGCTTATGATTCCATTTATACAAAACACTGGGACAAAAGGAATCTAACGATGACAGAATGCACATCAGTGGTTGCCTGGAGCAAGGAGCATGGGGAGTGGGGATTGACCAGGAAAAGGCAAATTTTCTTTGTCTGCTTCGAGGTCTGCCAACATCTCCTCTCTTTTAGTCGATGCACGTGAGGCTGCATGATCAGATGGTTTGCAGACTGTTAGGGGTTTTGGACACTTCTGTTCTGAGAGGTGTTTCTGATATCTCTCGGGAAGGTCTCCAAAATCAGCAGTTTGGCTCCTAGACTTGTTTACACTTCAACTTTTCAGCCCGTTCAGGACACTTGGGCTACTTTGCAGCAAAACCCCTGCCAGCTGGTCTACAAGGCAGAGGGGATGAATTCGCTAAAAGCTCTTGGGCTCTTAGCTGTGTCCTGATGTCTCCATAGAGCTCTTCTTTTAACCTGGCATCGGTAGTTGAACCATAAGCAAATCAACCCTAGGCTGCTTTGCCAGGTTGCTCGCTTCTGTTCCTCTCTTGCTATAAATTTAAATGGCTTCTGTGAGGCCTAAAGAGCTTCTTTGTTTTTGTCCTTCATAATCTTCTTTTGTTTTGTTTTTTTTCATTTTGTTTGACTGTACATGTTAAAGGCAGAGAAAGACGAAGGCTGGAACTGGGTTGGCTCGGAATTTTTTCTTACTCTCTGAGCCTTGTTGCTTTTGAAGCAGTTTAAGTACCATTACAATATCTGATTGAGATTCCATGTTCTCTTCTTTTTTCTTCTGCTCTCAAATCATCATTTGAAAAGGCTTAGGTACTGTCATCTTTGGCACCCATTCTTTTGGTTTTTTCTTTGGTTTTTCAGCTGCTGGGAAGTCAGCATCTTCCCTGAATATAATCTTTTACAGAAAAGCTTGTCCACATGTTGTTGGTGAGCTCCTGAGCACAGGTCACCGTTCCGTTCTTCTCAGGGTATTTTTCTAAGTGGGCAACTCATCTTCAGAGAAAGACACAATCAAAGAGGAAGAAAGAATGACCTGCATCAAGTTCTGAGAGCCAGGGGATTCATGAGATAGGACAATAGTTCTTTTCTGATACAGAGACCAGACTTTAGAAGCTTCTTCCCTGAGGATCACTGGCTGAACTTCCTTTAAATTTAACTTATTCTGGTGCATTTTCTCTAACTTTGCCATAATTTCCTTGTGGGACGTCTTCAGCTCTTGTAGTTTCCTGAAATACTGCTCATTAGAGTGATAAATATCAGAAAGTCCACGAGGTCCTCCCAGCTTATACGTGTTTGTCCATCCACCCCTGAAACGTGCCTGTGGGGGCTGTACTGCTTTCTCCTGTTTCTCCTCCAAGAACGCTGTTAAGGGTTCTTCTACTGGTGACCCACATTCTGGGGTCTGGACTTATTGGGGTTTGGAGGCTGGAGGCAGCCATCACCATCCCTGGGTGGGAGGGGCATGGGGCTACAATAGAATATTGTTCAGCCTTAAAAAATAAATTAAGACATAAGCTACAACATGGGGACATTATGCTAAGTGAAATAAGCCAGTCACAAAAGGCCAAATACTGGTTATGATTCTACTTATAAGAGGTGTCGAGAGTAGTCAACTTCACAGAGACAGAAGGAAGGGTGGCTGCCAGGGGCTGCGGGCAGGGGAACGGCGGGTTGTGGTTTAACAGGTACAGACTTTCAGTTCTGCAAAACTGCACAACAACATGAGTATATTTACACAACTAACCTGTACACTTAGATATGGTTAAGATGGTAAATGTTGTGTTATGTGTTCTTGTACAATTAAAAAGAAATAAACCGTAGTTAATTATTCACAGTCCCTAGAAACTCTCAAACCTCTTTTTAGTTAATCTGTGAGCTCTTCCTTCTTTCTATATAAATTACAAATGTGCTAACAATAGGAAAAACAATGTCTGGTTTTCGTTTCCTCTCTTTCATACATAAAGCCAGTCTTCCTGCGGAGTTGCCATTGAGCAGCTTAGCTCACGGCTCCCCACAGCTCACTGTACCCGACCTGACCCTATCCCCCCAACACACACCCTGGCCAGGGAGGCAGATGGATAAAGGGGGCCAGGATAACATACAGTGTCTGCATTATAGTAACTTCATTTTACCTCTTTAATGTGAGGAATTCAAAACTCCACCTGTTTGCTGTCATATTAACTTTATGAGCTGAAAGAAGGTAATATTATCCCTCATATAGATATGTAAATAGATCTTAAGATGTATACGTCCATTCTGTACTTGAGATTGCTATCTCGCAAAGGTCCTTCGGTACTTTGCTTTGCTGGCAAAAAAAAAAAAAAACCACATTGAGAACCCAGAACTCCTGCTAAAAGTTCAAATATTTGTTTTAGTTGCAAGTACTTGTTTTGATTGGAAAGCATCTCCAAAACAAGCATTGATTTTAATAACTACAACAAAGCAACCATTTGTTTTGAAATTTTCTCTATTAAAAAAACGTGTAGGGAATTCCAGGGCATGGATCCAACGTACATAAACAGAGGACAATGTGAATGGGCTCACTGGCAGGAAGTGGTTTAAATTGTTTCCAAAGTTGTATTGTGTTGTTTAGATCAGCGATAGATGTTAACTAGTTGATCACATGTAGAGAGATAAGGGAAACGAAAAAAAAAAAAACCCACATGGCCCATTTCAGGCAAAACAAAATGGCATTTAACTAGTGGATTTAAGAAATAGACTAATTAAGTTAGAAAATGGCAATTCACTTTTTAAAGGATTTTAAATGGGTTTTATTTATAATGAGAGCTCCCATAATGTACTGAAAACATGATTCCATATACTATTTCAAGCCAAGCTTCAAAATTTAGTGATTCCTGCACCTTGATCTTTGTTACAGGACACTATGAAGATACAAAACTATGGAAATATTAAGCAACCTTTAAATATTTTTATTTTTACAGTCATGGGATATAAAGCACGGCATAGGGAATACAGTCAATAATAGTGTAATAACTATGTATGGTGCCAGGTGGGTACTAGACATTGGGGGGAATCACTTCTTAAGTTAATCGATATCTAACCACAACACCTGCGGTACACCTGAAACTAATAGAATATTGAATGTCAACTGTAAATGAAAAATAAGTGAAAAACTTTTTATTTCGAAATAATTGCAAGATACTATAAGTGACTCTCATATACTCTTCCTCCAGATTCACCAATTGCTAACATTTATTATATCTGCTTTATTAATCTCATTCTCTAGCTATTGAACGATCTGAGAGCAAATTGAGACATCATGCCTCGTTACCCTTAAATGCTTCAAGGTTTGTTTCCCGAGAACAAGGGCATTCTCTTGCAAGACCCTAATAAAATTATCCAAATCAGGAAATTTACTGTTATTATCTAATATAGTTCGTATTCAAAGGTCACCAATTGTCACAGTAATGTTCTTTATAGCTATTTTTCCTAATCCAATTCAGGATTGCCCGTGGATTTAGTGGTCTTGCCCCTTTACTCTCTTTTAATCTGGGTTAAATCCTTAGACTTTGTCTTTTACAATATTTTAGATTATGGAGCAGTTATCTAGATTTGTCTACTCAAATACAGGATACGCTTTTCTTTTTTTGCAGGAATATACATCACGTTATGTCCTTTTGGGGGTATCACAGCAGGAGGCAAATGATGCCCATTCCCCCCACGACTCGCGATGCTAATTTTGATTATTTGGTTAGTGGCCTGTCTACCCAACTTGTCGTACTTCCTTTTGATCTTTGTGATTAATATGTAATTTGTGGGCAGTTATTTTTGAGACTCTATAAATATTATGTTCCACATCGCGCCTTTACTTTCTAGTTTTAGCACCTTTTGATGATTCTTGCCTAAACCAACATCTTTATACCAACATCTTTATTGAGCTATAATTCATGTCTAAAATTTACTACTTTAAAGTGCACAGTCCGGTGGTCTCTAGCATATTACAAAGCTGCGCAACCATCACCGTGATCAATTCCGAAACAGCCTCAGCACACCACGCCCCTTTCCCGGGCTCCCTGCAGCCCCGGCGACCACGCCCCTTTCCCGGGCTCCCTGCAGCCCCGGCGACCACGCCCCTTTGCCCCGGCTCCTGCAGCCCCGGCGACCACGCCCCTTTCCCGGGCTCCCTGCAGCCCCGGCGACCACGCCCCTTTCCCGGCTGCGCCCCCGGCGACCACGCCCCTTTCCCGGCTCCCAGCAGCCCCTGGAGGCCACCAGCTCCCCCGTCGCCGCGGGTCAGTCAGTGCGGATGAGACCCTGCGGTGCGCGCTCCTTAGCGTCCGACTTCTTTCCTTTAACGTGCTTTCAAGCTTCACCACAGGGTAGTTTTAATCAACACTACGTTCCTTTTTATCTGCCTCAATCAATTACCACTATGATTTTTGGAAAATGATATTCTAAATACCTCGTTCCGTCTGCATTTACGGGGCAGCATCGCCTCGCCACCCTTAGGCAGGAAGCCCTAGAGAGTAAGTCCAACAGACGAGCCTCCCTTCCCCCCGTCGTTTCTAATCTTAGATCAGAGATCACCGTCCCAGGACTCCCCGGGGGCCCCTCATTGCGCCCCTCGAACAGCTCGGCGGGCACCGCCCCCCCGACAGGCTCCTCCCCCCTCCAGGTGTCCCCGCCCCTCCGGCTCCCGGGGAGGAAATGACGCACCGGAAGTGCCCCCAGTCCCCCTGCAGTGGGGGAAGGAATTAAACCCCCAAGATGGCGGCGGCGGCGGAGGAGCGGATGGCTGAGGAAGGAGGCGGCGGCCACGGC